TGACTTTTAGCTAAGATGAGGTAAAAAAAAAAAAAAAAAAAATTTTCATGAATTTATCCTCTACCTGTAGTATGACTGATTATATAAAGATGATGTTATTGAAAATGTTATTTACTGCGTCCTTAGAAATTCAAAATAAATGAAATAAGAAAACCAATTCTATATCATTTTTTTTATATATATGTCCCCCTAAAAGGGAAACCATTGTTTTGTTTAAATTTAATCATGTGATCTCTTGAACATTGATTTTTCATCTTTAATACATCTACCATAAAAGGATTTTTATTTGAAAGATAAAGGTTGTATGTAATCCTAAATTATTATTACTACCATGATGATTATTGAAAGTTTAGCAAAAGATAAAAGGTCACTGTGATCGGAATCATAACTCAATGTTTAAATTTTCTCAGCTGAGCTTGCATGGATATAAATTGATTTCCTTGATATGGAATTATTCTTCAAATAACCAATTATGAAGTTATGTTAGTAATATACAAACTAAAAATGGTTTCATTACTTTTATAATCAGTTTATTTCATAGTGTGAATCTTTTCATATACGTTATTGCACTGAGACCGAGGTTAGCTTAACAACGAACATCACTCAGAATTTTAGGTTCTTTTTAGAATTGTAGTATAAGATGACCCCCCACTTTTTAAAAAGGTGGTTTTTAGGATTTAAAGGTCGTCTTATACATGGAAATATACAGTAATTTTTTTTTTAATGATTAAATGTAGTATTCATTAAATTAATGCTTGTAAGTTTTGTTTTGTCAAATGAAATCTGTCATGCATACATATACAAAAAGTAAATAAACAAAATAAAATAGCAGCACCCCCTCCAATAAAAAACATGCATACAAAAATAACAAACACAACTGAAATCTTCAAGTTGTTTATTGAGTAAAAAAAAAAAAAAAAAAAATTTCTGATTATAAAACATTTAATAAAAGGCAATATGATGTTTTAAACAAGTTAAAACACAAAAAAATATTCTGTAAAGGTATTGAATTAGAGTTCACTTGCAATTTTACATAATTGAAAATATTTCTTAGCTAACAAATTACACTAAAAAGACGCATTCCATTTCATGGGGGAGGATAGAGTTTTCCTATGAGCAGATTCTTAGCTGCCCATATCAGCGTGTCTCAACTTGAAAATGGGTTACAATGTCCTTTGACTATTCGTTTTCCAAGTTCACCCATCTGCTTGAGCAGCTAACCAATCCCTGTTCCAGATACCTGCTCAGCTACATTTAGGTTTGTTCAACACCCATAATTATAGTTGAGTGGACTATAGTTACAGCTTCTGGAAGAGAGTGCATAATCTGGCATGACCAGTAGGATCAAACCCTCAGTCACGATGACTTGTAACTTCATGCCAGTACAATCATTGACAACTTCCAAACAGTTCCTTCAAACCAATTTTTCTTACAAGACCTGGGTCACCCTGCAGTGGGATTTAACTGGCATTTTCCAAATATAACATCTGCTGAGATTTGCACCCACTGAACCTGGGTTTCATGCTTGGAAAGTGTACATTCTAACTATATATATATATATATATATATATATATAGTTATATATATAGTTATATAAAGAAGGTAATGATGTTTTGATATGCAGAAGGATTATTTACAAAAGACCTATTGCTGTTAATTGGTCAAGAAATATGTAAACCATTTTTTTAGATGCCATATAATGCTACAGCTCTTCAAATCAGAACTTCTCTATATTCAAGGATTGAAATGGTAGAGAATTCTTGTTTTTTTTGTCTTGCATCATTGTAATTATTTAATGTGGATCCATCAAGGACTGGTTTTCAGTTTTTGGTAACAAATGTTTGTCTTCAAGGATAAAATAAAAACTAAAAGACAATGCCAATAATGGTAAGTTGTTTATGGCATGGAGAATACTGCTCTTGGAATAACCACTTTATTCAATAAACATGAAAATTTATTACTATATACAAATGACTTGATATGGATTCTTGAAAGTGAGACACTCTGAAGTAGGGAGGAATATTTATGTACAATTTTGATTCCATTCATAACAAACCCATTTTGAATATGAGGAAGAAAACTGGAGTGTGACAGGGAGGAGGACTGCTTTAGGGACATAAAAAAACGAACAACAAACAATGATAGAAATTCATATAACCTAAAAAGGTTTGTGTCCTTAGAATGCTTAAAGCACTAGATATATAAAGAGGAAGAAGTACTCTCCTTTTGCTCTCTAATTTAAAAAGAAAGATTTCTTAAGAATGATATGTATTTTTCCCAAGAGAAAGAGAGATAATGTTTCAATTTGCCAGAGTATAAAGAATTATTCATAGCCTGCAACAAAATCAGAAAATTTTGGCAGGGATTTACCTTTTTTCTCTTAGTAAATCCGTTATCTTTTAGATGTGTACTTTTTTTTGTTTTTTACAGAAATATTTTTCAACAATTCAATGGGGAATATTAATCATCATGTTCAAATGGTTAAAATTGCTGATCTAAATTCAGTTAATCACTACTGTCAGGTTATAAATTTATTGATAAACACACACAGGCAAATCCGCATAATAGTTTAATAATGCATAAGAATTTTGAAATTTTATGATGGGTAAAAAAATAAATAAAAATCTGAGTGTGTGTGTGTGTATTATATATATATATATATATATATATATAAAAACAAACATTATCTGACCAGAGAGCAGCAAAGTTAAAAGGCAATGAACAAAAGTTTGGTGCCTGAGGCTTAACAAAAGATATTTGTATTCCCAAGGTAACAATGAATGAATGAATGAATGAGATTGTCAACTTGAGATATCGAAGCAAAGACGAGGATGCAATGTCCATAGAAGTTGGAGTAAAGGCGGGACGGGAGGGGGGTATTGTTGGGAAAGTCCTGATATATAATTTTGTAAATTTTCTATTATTTTTATGAATCACAACCACAGGAAGAAAAACAAATTCTTCCTGACCATTAAAAAAAAAAAAAAAAAAAAAAAAAAATTCCACACAAATGATCAGCAAAATGAAGTTTATATACAAATAAATTTTGTTAAAGTCTCTTCTGAACTTTATATTGTAATAGTGTGTTTTATTAAAAACATTTTGGCATTGGTCTTAAAACCAGAAAAAAGATTTCATAAAGATGTATATATGCATGAATATAAAAAGGGGAAGAAAATTTGGGAAAATTTTAGAATTTGTCAGTACAACATACAGAACATAGAATCAAAGGTTTTTGAGAATAAAACAAAAAAAAAAAAAAAAAAAAACAACAAAAAAAACAAACAAAAAACCACCATTATCCGTGTAATTCATATAAACTTAATGATTAGAAAAAAAAAAAAAAAAGAGAAAATGAATACTTGAAATGATCTTTCTGAATGAATTGGACAATTTTAAAAATTCTGATAGAGATTATTTGGCTTTTGTGAGGCGGGGAAACATATTTGGCTACATTTTCATATAAATAACAAAAATGTTTTCTCCTTGATGATAACAACAATATGGCAGCTATCTTTTTTCTCTGCTCCATAATATGAGGGAGAAATGAAACCAAATCAAGATTTGGATAATTAATGCATTTAGTTCTTTCATGACAACAGATCTGGACAAAGAGAATGTTGTGATAATCAGCAGAATTATCTATTGATTCTGTCATCCTCCAGCTCAGATAAATATAACATGAAGCCTTTTTAATTCTTCTCTCTCCATTTTTATATTAAGCCAGGTCATCTTACTCTCCATTTTCTTTATGGTGAGAGAGGAGAAAAAGGGGTCAATAAATTTGTAAGAAAACAAAAATGTGATTTTTAGAAATTGTTATCAATATGAATAGTAAGAGAAAAATAATATCTAAATATATTTCTGCAAAATTAGATAAAAAATAAAATAGTTTATCAAATCTATGAAAGGAGATGAAGAGGAAAATTTTTCCAGCAAAAATCAGGTTAAAACAAAAAAAAACAAGAATCTAAAATAAGCAAGATGTGGATGCTGAAGCCATAACCTGGAGGCCAATAGATACCAATGCTGAATTTTTATCTTGTATTTTAAAAGATAAAATGTGTCAGTTGACCAACTCTCCACCAAGTATCATGCAACAGGTATGAAGTTACATGAGACTAGTAGGAAAAAGAAAAGGAAAAAAAAAAAAAGATTCTATAACATGACAGTCAATTATTGTGGTATGCTAGTGTCAGGCTAATAAACAATTAGGGTGTATATGGAGGGAGGGAGGAGAGAGAATTGTTAGTCAAGAGAAAGTAGGTAGAAAGAAACACAGACAGAGATAAATGAGACACACACACACACGCAGAATAAGGTAGAGAGGGAGAAAGAAAGAGAGACACAGAGGAAGAGAAAAGAAAGAGAGACATGTGCACACACACACACACACACAGAATAAGAGAGAGAGATGCAAGTAATCTCTCAGCTCCGTCTTTCTGAGTAAAACACCTAACCAACTGTTAAGACATCAGGTGACAAAAGAAGAAAAAAATGAGATGACAATGAGACATGTCAAGAATTTCAGGTGGAGGTGACAAATTATACAAGTCTTCAGATTTTTATAGCAACACAAGGAAGTTTAACTGTTGAAATATATGGTGGGAAATTAAAACAAATTAAAACCATTAAAAAAAAAAAAAAAAAAAAAATTTTAGTAAAGATAAATTTGGCCAATATAATTATTCATCTGTTGTCATGCATTATTACAAATACACTTTAGAATAAATTTCCAAAATATTTTTCAATTTCTTTTTTTTCCTATACATGGAGTGGCTAAGAAGTTCTATTCACTCTGTGATGAAACCCTTCAGATTTCTTGGCACAAAAATCATCTAATTGACCTTATTTTTCATTGTAGACTTAAAAAAATGACAAATATGGAGGGTGCAATTGAGAGTGTATATAATTCATCAACTTCTGACCTATACAGCCATCATCTGGTTTTGTCAGTAATACAGCAGTATACATATGATTATATAATTTGTTTTTTTTTTTTAAAGAAAAGAAAAGAAAAGAGAAAAGAAAAGAGAAAAGAGAAGAGAAAAGAGAAGAGAAAAGAGAAAAGTAAAGAAAAAAGAGAAAAGAGAAAGAAAAGAAAAAGAAAAGAAAAGAAAAGAGAAAGAGAAGAGAAAAAGAAAAGAGAAGAGAAAAGAGAAGAGAAAAGAGAAGAGAAAAGAGAAGAGAAAAGAGAAGAGAAAAGAGAAAAGAAAAGAGAAAAGAAAAGGGGAAAGAAAAGGGGAAAGAAAAGGGAAAGAAAAGAAAAGAGAAGAGAAAGAAAAAAGAAAAGAAAAAGCAAGATGGTATATTAAGCTATGTGACCCTGTAATGTTATTTATTCTTCAAAAACAACAGAAAAACTCTGAAGAATATACAAACATAGGCTGCCTGTGAAGCTAAGACAAAGCAATGAATTTTCAGTTCCTAAATCAGAAAACCATTTTGCAGGAGCTGTAAAATACTAAAAATTATTTCTAGATATTTCAGTGTTTTAAAAAAAAAAAAAAAAAAAAAAAAAACTAAGATGAATTAAAAATAAATGCATATAAAACTTGCAGTTTAAGTTTTTTTTCTTTACAAGTTTTTGATTTTTTTTTTTTTTAAAGAAAGGAAAATTAAAATTCAAAACAATTTTTCTTATTCTATTTGAATGAATCTTATCAGTATGCATCTAAACAATGATTTCAGCAGAGGAGATAATTATTCATTAATGTGATGAAAGTAAATATAATGCAAAACAAAAAACACAGGTAGTCAACTTCAATAATTTAACATCCATTATTCAACTTTTAAAATGTCTTTTTGATACAAGATGAGCATTAATTTTAATTATTTTATTCTTATAAATAATATTCCACGGAAAACAATAAAGTGTAACATATGCTTAAATATAATGTTAACTACAATTTATGACTTATCAATTTATATTGACTTTTCTCAAATTTTGCAACTGTGTCCAGGCACTAAAAGGCTAAAAAAGATCTCTTGAGTGCTTCAGGTCTCAGAGGAAAAAATGAAAGTATCAAAGGTCAAGGAATAAGAACTAGTGAATCAAGTCTTGTTTTCTTCATGAATCATTTAATCTCTCTTTTTGCATCAATGATTCTCTTCATTCAATTATTTTTATATATATATATATATATATATATATATATATATATATATATATATATATATATATATATATATATATATAGATAGATAGATAGATAGATAAATAAATGACAGTCATGTTTATTTTATTGTCCTCTAAATGTTTAGGGGGAACAGAAAAAAAAGACCAGCATCTTATGAATTTGAAGCCTACTGTAAGTTAATTTTTACCTCAAATAATAACTTCTACTTATCCAGATTCCATAACGTTATTTACTCAAATGTCGCCACCAAAATAAAAAAGCAGCTTGTCTAAAAAATTCAGTATATATATATATATATATATATATATATATATATATATATATATATATATATATATATATATATATAGAGTCCAGGGTGAACTCTTAAAACGGTTTATTTTGCAATCAACACCATCACTTAATATGACACCAGTAGTGTTGAAACAAAATTGCAATTTTTGTAGTGATGCTATAACATGTGCATATGTTATAATTTTAAATATATATATATGATAGATAAGTTAACTTGTCTAGCATTTTATTAGATTACCACTCTGTTTTTTTCTTAGGAAATGACATTGTTTAATGTATAAATATGTATTTGTTTATATCCGCTCTTGTTTAACATCTGTTGCTGCCATTGATTACAAATATAAGGGTCATGACCCATTTATGAAAAATAATTTAATTTTTGCTTCCTCCCTTAGTTTAATGCCACTTACCATCACTTGAATTAGAGTGAAATTTGAAGCCGATGGAACTGTTCAGAATGTCCATGAGAAGTCTTCCCAAAGACCACGGACATCAACAAGCTCCACAAAGCAAGAAAGAGTACTGGAAACTTATCACAAATGTTCAAGAAAATCTGTGTGGCAAGTTAGTCATGAGGTAGGTATTTCAAAATCGTCTGTCCAATGCATTTTTGAAGCGCTGTCAATGGAAAAGTTACATTCCAAGTTTGGTCCATGCTATTAATGATGATTATCCAGACCAAAGAGTGGAGTATTTTGAGTGGTACTTGGCATGATGTTTAGAAGATGCACACTTTCCAATAAAGATTGTATGGAGTGATGAGGCACATTCAAATTAAATGGCTCAATTAACTGCCACAATTACACCTACTGTCAAATTGGGAATCTGCATGTTATGGTGGAACAAGAAGTTACAGTTTGGTGTGGTCTATCATGAAGAACATTAATTGGACCATTCTTTTTTGATTCTGTGACTGGACCCGTTTACTTGAACTTGCTGCAATGGTCTGTCATGCAAAGCTTTAGAAAGGACTTTGAAGATGACGTGTTTTATTTTCAGCAAGATGGGGCACTCTCCCACACTATCATCACAATGTCAGATCCTACCTTGATTAGATCTTGCCAAAAAGGTGTACTGAATGAAGGGGTTTTGTTGAATACCCTCTGCGTTCACAAGGCCTCACACACCTAGACTTTTTAATAGAGATACTTAAAAGACAAAGTCTATGATGAAACCTGCAACAGTTGCTGAATTGAGAGCAACCAAAATGTTTGGTGATGTTTATGATTCCATTGCTTTACATCCCCAGCATTGCCTGAACCAGAACAGACATCAGTTTGAAAATAGGCATTGATAAAACAATAAAATAATATCTGAAGATTCTATTAAATTGACGATTAAATGTATTTTAATAAACACTGACTTTATAATTATTTAAAGTGTGTATACATTTTTTGGGACACATTGTATATGATAGTATATATATATATATATATATATATATATATATATATATATATAAAAAAAATCTCTTCACTAGGCTATTATTCAGTTTTCTTATTTGGTTTGGTGGTATCATAAGTATTAATTGTAGGTGGTTACATTTATAACGATATTTATTTATTATTGTTGGAATTCATATGCAGGTGTCTGTATTTATGCACTCCTGCATACGCACACATTCAGGCATGCACGTATATAGGTATATGCATGTGCACATAAAATATGATGTAAATTTTCATATATCAAGAATAATTTTAGAGGAAAGATATATGACAAAGTTGAAAAAGATTTTGTGTGCTGGATTTCGCCCCTTAGGACTTTATTGGACAAGAGGTTTGTTTACGTTGATGCGACTACACATTCATACGAACAAGAGACACTGGGAATTTTCTTTGTGTTTTGAGTATATAATCTAGCTGATTTCATTTAGAGTCTTTCTTTGTTTTCATCATCTGTGTTATTAAATATGACACACATTGTGATAGCAAAAGTTCTGCCAAGAATGGTGAAATGTTCTAAGAACCTGGACACAAATTTACTGTGGATGAACTAGCGATTAAAGCACTTTCTATACATTTTTGTCTTAGGGAATAATTTTCTCTTTTAATTAGAATAAAGAACACTTCTATCACTAGTTATAAACCCTAATTAGAGAGGAAATGAAAAATTGACAATAATCTTAGCAAAGCCAGAGTATTTAAAGATCTTTTGGATGTGTATGTGTGTGTGTGTATATATATATATATATATATATATATATATATATATATATATATATATATATATAAATTTAAATCAAATACAAATCTGTTTACCAAATACAAGTGTTGTACAATTATTTCCTTCACTCCTACACAGACTTCATGGCATGATTATTTTGTTCCAAATTTCTTAAATTTTTTATAAGCATTTTCCTAGCAGGAAGTTTATAGGCAACATAAAACCCACCAGCATGACTATATTTAGAAGCCACTTGTATTTGGTTCAAAAGGGGGTAACTTTATGAAATGCTAAAGGACTGATTTTTGTGACCTAACAGTCTGGAGATCATTTTTATCAAAAATAAATGGTTTTGTTTTTTACTAAAACAAAGAAATGAAACTTGTTATCTTCCTAGTGTGTTTCAAGTATCCAGCATCACTCAACTGACAGCTCTGACCAATGAACTACTGTTAAGTGCAATTACATCCTCAAATATTTGGAAAGTCATCTCCATTATGCCAATAATTGTTCTGAATCCAGCGAGAGAAAAAAAATAAAATGTTGTTAAAGTGTTGTTTTTCTTATATTTATCCTTAGAATAATTCATCTGATCATCACTAATAAGAAAATTTATTAATTCAGTTGCTCCTACTCCAGGTTAATGATGTGAAAAAGAGACGAGAAAATCAGGAATTTATTTGTTCCTAAGAAGAGAAAAAAAAATAGAAAGGAGGAGGAGGAGGGGGAAAAAAAAAAAAAAAAGGAGGTGCCCTAACCAATGGTCCACAAATTAATAGTACAAAAATATTTTTTTAAGATTCCATTTAGTCCAATACCAAGAAAACTACTATCTGCCTTTGAAAGCACTAGTAACAGCAAATGACATTATTAACAGTAGAGAGAGAGAATGATAGGAAATGAACATCAGCAGTTTTTTATGACAGATGAGATAAGAGAGAGAAATGAATAATAAGCACTTCAATGGCCAACTTGCATTACACCAAGTGCAATGTTTTCCTTGCAAATCGGTGGTTAGAATTTTATGGTCTCACACTTTTGAATCAATCAGATGTGACAGGGGAACATTTTATGTAAAATGATTATATATATATATATATATATATATATATATATATATATATTATGTCAATCTCCGAATGACATCATGGTTTCCAAACAATACATTTCATAATGAATTCTGACATTAAATGATACATGAATTTTTCTCCATTTGAAGAAATAAATGCTTTTCTTGAATAAAAACACTGAGAAGATTGTAGATAATAAATACCATGCTTTTTTGGAGTTGATAGTGAGGAGTAAAAAAAATATTTGCAAGTATTAAATTCTAATTCTACAAATTATTTATTAGTAAGAATCTATTGCAATTTTTCTGTGTTTCGTTTTTTTTTTATGTTTTAGAAAAATACTTGTTCCTATTTTTTTCATTATTAGAGATTTTGTCCTTTTTCCCAGCTGAGTTTTCAGGTAAAGTTTGGTTTGTCTAACAATTCTATAATTATTTGGAGATTGTATGAAACAATATAAAAAAAACTTCTGAAACTGATCTTCAAAGTTTTGAAAAATCATTTTTTTTTCTCTGAATCCAATAAACATCCAAAAAATGTATCAGAATCTTCATTCAACAAATAAATGATTTTTGTTTGCAATAATTCTCCATGTTTATTAAATTTAGTATGGCACAAGGCTATCAGAGTAAGGCAACCAGTGAGGATCAAACTCAGAGTAGCAATGGCTTGCAAGACTAGATTTTTAACTATTATACCACACCATTCACTTGCAATTTTCTATTTTTTAAAATCAGCAAAGTAAATAACTATTTTCACAAGCCAAATCAGATTTTAATTTTCTAAAGTAGAAAATATTTTATATTTTCTATGTAATTAGGATGTTAAAAAATTTAATTGTAGAAATAACAAAATTATGTACTTATACAAATAGATAAAAACTATCATGGCAGTGAAATTATGATGAAATCATTATGTATTTGTTAAAATCTATAAGTCGAGGATGAATAAAAAGGCAGATTTGTTTTATGAAATTTTCTACACTTGTCATCAACATCCTAGTTCCACTTCGAGTAATGAAATCTCACATAACATCGAAGAAATTAAAAATTTAGTTGATGTCAATGATTTTTTTTCCCCTTTAAATATGTATTCACTCTTGTGAGTTGAAAAATTTCCAAAACTTTAATATATATATATATATATAGTTTTGGAAAATATATATATATATATATATATATATATATATATATAGTTTTGGAAAATATATATATATATAAAATGATACTAATACATAGTTTCATTTACTCAACTACAAATTATATGGCTATCATCCACACATTGAAAATATTTGCATTATATTTAAATATACTTGGTTCATAAAAATGGTCTTGTATAAAAATGTTTTTATATATGAAAAGTGAAAATGTTAAAAAGAATTAATGAAAACAGATAAATATTTTTCCTTTAAGATTTTGGATAGAACAAAATGGTAGATTTTATAAGTAGACAAATACACTCACCACAACTAGTGAAGAAAGGTTAAGGAAAATTACCAACTTAAGACGGTCATTTCAGTCATGCTAACAGCAATATAGACAGTGATCATTTCAGTAATACAATCACCACAACTGCAGGTTTAGTACATTGAGGCAATCCAAACAGTAAAATGGTATTAAAACCAAACAAGAGTAGTTTTCTTTTCTAAAATAAACTAAAGAATCTTAGAAATAACATTTTGTATTAAAAGAGCCTAAGATATAGAATCAGAGTCGAAGGTCAAAATAAAATTTAAAAAGAAAAAAAAAAAAATATGAAAAAAAAATAAAAAAAAAATATGATAATTATAAACCTTAATGAAATTAATAGGAAAAACTTGAAACTAAGAGGTTCTTGGGTAGAAATTTGATGTAAAGGTCCTGTTTGATATAACCATGATTATTCTGCAAACATTAATGAAAGATTTAACAATGCATTCGGCAAGAAGGGCCCTGAAGATGAGATGAGAGCAAGTTTACTTGCTGTATTTGTATTGTGACTTGAAAGACTACACTTGTGGCATCACTGTTGTATAGGGATTACTGTTGGAAGAGTTGTCATATAGAGGAACAACTGGCTTTCGGCTTCTAGGCCTGTCATCAAAGGCAAGCTCAGCATAATAAAGGTCATCTTCACCATTATGGTCAAATCCCTAGAGGGAAGAAAAAAAAAAGAAAAAAGAAAGAAAAATGAAGATAAAATCCTTTCATTGACATGGAAAATTCATTCTTGAGAGGAGAGAGAGAGCAAAATAGAGAGCAGAGAGAGAGAGCAAAGAAGCACCTAAAAATAATTATTCATAAAAGCAAATAGAATTTTTTTCTTTTCACTGAATTCATGCATGATGCATTGTAAATATTAACTTCTTTTTTTGTAAAACCCAAACCACTGCTCTCTAGGATTCTTTTTTTTAATTTCATGTTCATTTGGGACATTGGCAATCATGATTTGCAACAGATGCAACCATTTTAACCAGTGAACAACTTGGAAGATGGGTGCAGCATAATTTTTCTAGTTGTTCCATGTCAAACAAATCTGAGCTTTATTAATATCTATATGCTTCTTTCTTTTTTTTTATTACTATTGTTCACTCTATACAAGGCCCAATGGTAGTGGCAATATTAGCCATTTCCTATAAGGAAACATTTGGTATTCAATGACCAAACAGCCAGTACTATTTTCAGTTGAAATTTATAAATCTTTTTCTTAAAACAAATTTTTCAGGAAAATAAATTTCTCAAGTCCAGCAGCTGTTATTGCCTCACCTTTTATTTGAAGTTGTGTGGAATATCCACTTAAGGCAAAGAGTTACAAAACAAGGATGTTGTAAAGGTGTACAGGGAGGGAGCGAGGAGAGGATATGTAGGAGAGATAACGGTTGACCATTTTGAAGTGGCTTGTTTAATAGAAAGGAAAAAAAATAAAATACTAGGGGGTGCAAGGAGACTGGAGGTGGGAGGAGGAGAGAGAGAGCTATTACTGTCAAGATTTTTTTATACTTACAGTATTATACATGGGAAGTTTTCCTTTATCTAAACCAGTTGAATAAACAAGATCTGGTTTTGTTTCTTTCATATTCACTTCGTGATTGCTGTGAAAATAAAAAAAGAAAAAAAGTGTGTTAAATAATATATATATATATATATATATATATATATATATATATATATATATAAAAAACACACACAGAGGGTGCGATGGATAAATTGTCTAAATTACACAAAAATGACATAATTTTAACAGATATATTTACTAAAATTACACAAAAATATCATGAAATACTAAAAAGTAAATTTATTCAATACAATAACTATTGGCTTGAACTGTGACCTCCAGATGACTTCAGAATCTCCTGCAACTTTTCTGGAGAGTCTACTTGTTTAAGTTGTCAAATGCTGGCATAATCTTTGCCTTCAGTTCATCTTTGGTGTTATAAGGAGTTTTATTGGTCTTGTTCAGCGCCCCCAATAATCAAGGTGGTTGCAGTCTGGGAAGTTTCTGTGGCCAGATACATGCGGTGATGTGGTTGCAGAAATGGTCTGACAGCTATGACTGAGCTCTCATGTTTGTGCGGCATCGTGCAGAGTCCTGTTGCCAGACACGCTCTTCCAGCAAATACCCTCTTGACCCAGGGCAACAATACCTCCTCATTCACGTATTCTTTTTGTATCAGAGTGAGTTTTCCAAACTGCCATACCTTCGTAATCACCATTAGACTCATCCAACTCTTTCCGAATCCTCTGCACTGTCCTCAGATTGACACCCAAACAGTCAGAAATGTTTGTATTGGAGCTTTTGATGCAAATGCCAATCAGTACAATAAGCCATTTCCAAATTTCTGGTGGAGTCAATTGAGTCATGTTGCACTTTTTCTCACAGATGGTGCCCAACTGACCCTATACTGTGCAGTTGACAAAATCAAAGACAATGCACATACATGAAATTAAAAATATAAAATGGTGACAATTTACATTCTGAATATGTATATCTATACACACATACACGCACACTATAAACACAAGTAAGGCTTCAGTTATGACAAAAGAAACAAGAAAAGGGATACTCATATTTAAATGACCCTTTGACAAAATATCAAAATAAAAGGAAAACATCTTAAGTAATATTAGTGCATACAAGAGATCAAAATAACATGCAAGCAAAACGCCTACCATACAAGATTAAGTTGGATGACAAGTAACAGATTAGTGGCCATTTGAAAATTCAGTGATGTGGAATTTTGAATTGACTTTCTTCTTAGTCATAACTCAAGTTACCTTTAAAAAAAAAAAGAAAAAAGAAAAGAAATCGAGTAGGAGGGGGGGGGGAGAAAAAGAAAAAAAAAAAGGCAAGTCACAAAATTGAAAATGTGTTTGACTTTCAAAAGTCACCCAATAACTCACTGATAAGAATTATTTTTTTAAGATAAGATCAGTTTGATGAAAGAAAAGAAAAGAAAAGAAAAGAAAAGAAAAAAAGAAAACAAACTTACTTTCGGGGTTTCTCAGGTGGTTCTGAAAAGAGAAAAAAAAAAAATGTTACAAAGAAGGTGAGAATGATACGTTATCAAAAGTGGAAAGGAAAAGGAAATAAAAAAAATAAAAAATATTGAAAATTACTCTAGGTTTTAATTTAAAAATCATCTTTTCTTTTTATGCAACAGAAACAATTTTTTCAATGTCAATATTGATTATGAATTTTACTATATACAAATTGCATTTGGATATTTTTTTTGTCTTTAATGTCTGTAATTCTTAATAAGTCTACATAAAGAAGATAAGTCATCTGCAATAAAAGTTTTAGTTTTGTAAAGAGACTATTTTATTATTATTATTAATGTTCTCTTTGCTAATGGCAGAATATAATTGATAATTGGTCTGCATAATTTTGATGAAGTCAAAAATTAAAAATGAAAAAAAAAAAAAAAAAAAAATAGACAAATGGTCTGATTTGTGACAGAGGGTTCATGTTTTTTTTTTTTTTTCTTAGGTTAAAAGATTTTGGTTAGCGGCATATCAATACTTATATGGGTTATTTAATGCTGTTTTCTAAATATTTTGAAGGCAAATTTATAGCTTCTACTCAATATATTTTGAAAACAATTGTATGACTTCAGATAAAATGTATTGTTAACAATTCTACTATAAAAATGTATTTTTGAACTTTCATAGTGTTTTATTTTGGGACTCACTATCTGCCCACCGCTGGGATCCTAAAAGGTGCTACCACCCTTCAAAAAGGGTCAGTAGTTGCATATGTGTAAAAAGCAAAACATTGCATATTGACAACTGCTGCATCGATATCTTCATCTCATTACCTAAAACTCCTTGTGATAATGCTTCGAGCTGAAGTTAATAAGCAGTAAAACCCTGTTGCTCCTTTCTCTTAGCCTTGTGCCAGACTAGTCAGTATCAAGAACTGATTAATTTTGGTATATTATTCACCAGCAATTTTTTTTTTTTTATTATGTATCAATAAGGCAAAGTAGTAAAGAAGACTGGCCTTTTGTCACTCTGCAAAAGGGTGAAAATAATTTGGCAAAGATTCAAGCAGTAGAATGTTAAAAATAACCGAGAAAGAATTTACCTTCAATTTCTGTTGGTTTCGACCGTCGTCTGTAGAATATCACAACCACAATTAGGAGAATAATCAGAAATAGCAAAGCACACACGATACCCACAATCAATTTCCAGTTATCATCTTCGTCTGTAAAGAAAAAGTAAAAATCACATTAAACAAACAAATAGATTAAGTATACTTTATATGTTTGTAACAGCAGAGTTTTGTAGTTTTTGGTGTATAAGTTAACTCCCCAAACCAATTTAGGAAAGAAAACAGAATCCTACAACATTATGAACAGGGATGGGCAAACATTTTTCATGGTTACCTGTGTCATTATTGGTCCTGTGTAAGAATGGGGTGGTGGTGGGGAGGGGTTAGTGCTACATCACAACACAAATTTCACAAAGACAATAGAAATAGCAATCATACATTTTTTTTTTTTTTTTTTTTTACAAATCTTACATTTTTACATTCTTTATATATATTAGTTGTAGAGTGGATAAATGAAATGTCCAAATACAAGCAGGCATGTACATGTATGCATACGCAGGCAAGCAAATAAATAATCGTTAAATTTATGCATTTGGTGTAAATGTAAGTGCTCAATGTTGTCAAACAGAGCAAAAATTTTAAATTAGTAATTAACTTTTTCTTTCACTCACACTTTTACCTCCCCCATTCTGCTAATTTTTCTAAGAAATGTAAACCACCAGCATTGCATTTTGCACTCCTGTGCAACTTTATTTTTTTTATACACTACGTAGCAGCGAAACTCCAATGAGCCATTTGTTTACTTCTAGCAACATAGACCTCCTGCCTGATGAACTGCGAACACCACCCAGTGAAACTATAGTTGCACGCCAAAAACATAGGTACGCGTATATGTGCTAATCTATATATATATATATATATATATATATATATTTATTTATTTTTTTTTGTGGGAAAAGAGTTTGTATGCAATTATATCCCAACAATTGTAATAATCAGTCATTTACTAATTCCTGATGTGTTGATATACATCGAAACATGAGTTTATTTATGTAGTGTTGTTCCTACATGTTTGAATATCCTATAATAAAGAATAATGATCTACTATTGGATTGTATTGAGTCTTATTTTAAATTAATGTTATGAATGTTTGAATTTATATTCGATTCGTTCTCATTTCATATATATATATATATATTACTTATGAGAAACATTTTTTTGAACAGACTGTATGAATATATTTAATACATTTATTATTATTAATGAGATTTTAAAAGCTGTGAAAAGAAAATATCTGATAAAATCTATATCTTTGATAAGAAATTCTTAATAAATTTTGCAAGACGTTCACAGCAAAGTGCAAAAGTGACATTATATATTTATCTCCATTTGGAGTATACACAGGCACCTAGATCCCGATGTCAGTTTACACTGTGCTTGAAGATTGGGAAGAGTGCCAGATGCAGCAACAGAGGTGCTTGTGATAGTACATAACACAATGTCAATTTTGTAGGATATGAGATTCCGGGGAGCTGAGGTTTGCTATTAAATATATATGGCTTCCAGTTTTGATCCCGTTTTGAAGAGATTACTATTTTGTGTAAGATGTAATTTAAATTTTTTTTAATGGACAGTGGACTATACTTTGCCCACACCTAGATTATATAATCTCCTAAGTCTTACTCAACAAGATGACCAGGATATTTATTTTATCCTTGGTAGATAATATTGAAGATGCAGTGTAGTGGCTATCAGCACAAAGTAGAATAAGAAAACCAAGTTCAAATTGCAGTTGAGCTGGTATTGCTCATCCCCACCCACCTAGTTTAAGTTACAGGGTAGACGATCCATCAGGGTTTGTTGGCAGTCAAGAGAAAGACTACCTATTCTTAGTCCTGTAGACTCCACTGATGAATATAGGTCACAGCTTTTAGTAACACTAAGCATTGCAACTATGGTAAGGGTTGGAAACCTTTTGGAGAGTGTGCTAGAAAGATATACATTGTGTTGGAGTAGGGCCATTATATCAAATTTATTATAACAAATTGTCTTGAGCTCATTGCTCTGTCCAGAAGGTTATTTCAGTCTGGGGTTTTAAAGGAAAAAAAAAAAAAAAATTAATGTTATATTATTTAAAAAAGGTTCCTTATTTTACTGCAGGAATAACAGGATAATGACAATCAACAAAAAGAAAAAAAAATTGTTACTACAAACAAAACAGTTAGAAATGGCAAATTATTTAATGAGACACTCGTTTCTGCTTATTGTTTGATAACTTCTTCACATCAGGTGAAATATTTGTTGATGACAGGAGCAAAACATCATCCATCCAAGTGGTCATCACCCAATCTTGTTCTTAAACAACTTTTACTAAAATTTCATTTTTGAAAAAAAGTTGTTCCCAAGGATATGTACTTCCAAATAATGATACCATCATTTTGGAATTATTTTATAGACTTTTATATTTTCTGCTTGGCAAAAAATATTTTTTGTAGAAGTCAGCAGAGGATTCAGAATTAAATTTTGATTTCGTAAAATTGTCACATTGTAAACGTAAATCACGAACTGATATATATTTTTTTTTTTAACTGTCATTTGTCCCACAAATTAATTAGATACTTAGTGTCCAAGTATTAAGCTGGCAGGCCAGACAAAAATCCTTCCTGGGCTTGATGTGGCCCAGGGCCTGCTGACCACTGGCTTATGGGATGAAGTTGCTAGCCCGATATACTATTGGTTTTGTACACAGATTTTGCTTATAATACCTGGGTGTTTTTAAGCAGTCCTCCACCTAAATATTGACTTAGCTTGAGACTGCTTAACTTTAATGATCAAACAAAAACTAGTGTTTCATCATGATTTGGCTGTAAGTAAACTGGAGAAGGCAGGTGGAAACTATTCCACTATCTTTCCCAAGAAGTCATTACAATTTTCAGATAAAGAAAAAGGAATCTGTGGAGAGCCATGATCACCTACACCCTGAAGGGACATGGATTTAACAAAAGAAATATATTGAACCTTATACTATCAACATTGTTCTTGCTCTTCTTTACCCCTTATTCTTAATCCTTTTCTCTTCTTTCTCTCTTTTTATACTGACATTTTGCTGGCTGACCTTTCACTCTGGCTTGTTCACGATGAGAGCAAGTCCAGTGAAAGTGGTAGGCTAACCTGAAGACAAATAAAGAGTGATGTGGATATAATAGTGATCTGAAGTCAGAAAATTCCTTCTAATTCCTAAGGAAAAGACAGTTTTCTTTCTCTCACTCATATCTTCATCAATGATCTTTTCAAGGTCATCGGTTCTCAAGTAGGTATTGACACTACCATTTACTCATGTCTCAATAGTAAATCTGGCAGTACTGACAAAGTTAACCTGGCTGTTTCTCTTGAAAAGGATCTCCAAGCAGTGGTTAACTGGAGCAGTAAATGACTTGTAAACTTTAATGCTTCCAAAACTAAACTGCTCTCATTGCACTGAGACAGAGAAACTTCCCTGTCCCCCATCAACATAGCTGGTCTCAAATTGTACAATGACTTGAGGTGGAAAAATTACATTGAATCAATAGCTGCATCTTCTGCAAGGAAAGTGAGTTCACTGTGTCATGCCAGAAGGTTTTTCACCTCAGAGTTCATCTTACACATCTACAAATCTACCATTCATTCGTGCAGTGAATATTGTTGCCATATTTGGTCTGACGCCCATGCTGTTCATCTTGAGGTTTTCAACAAAACATCCAAAGAAGGATCTGCAATGTACTTGGGCCCGACTTGGTATCTTGACTTCAGACATGATGTGGCCTCTGTATTTCCTACAAATATCTTCATGGCAACTGTTCTGATGTGCTATCTTCACTGATGATCCAACTACAAGAATTTAAGTGTGCTACTAGATTGGCATTTAGGTCCCACCCTTTTACTGTTGAAATAGTTACACGCAACCACTTCTACTCTAGCAGTTTCTTTTCTTACATTTCCTGACAATGGAACTCCTTTCCTTTTACGTGCTTTCCTGATAACTACAATCTAAATGCAATGTCAATTGACATCTTCTGTTGCCTTGAACCCCATTCTTCTTTTATCCATTCCTCAATCATCCCCCCCCCTCTATATGCAGTCTTTTCCCTCACTTTCACTCTCTGTAACTCCATGCATGCTTTGAAAAAAAATTGTACCATAATTTTTGCATTTTGTTGCATCAATCATCTGCTAACAAAGCTTGGGTTTAGAAGTTACATTTAAAGAAATCAGTATTTTTCAATCGGGTGTAAAAAGATTTGCTACCAAAGTAGGCCAATATTATATAGTTTATTGAATATGGTTTTGTTTGTACAGATACTAGTAAGATTGATTAAGTTACTAGTACAGCTACTAGTAAAATGGAAAGTACTCAAGAACCTTGAAGCAGCTAGGCTGTACATTGACATAGAATGTTGGAGATCATGCCGAGTCTTTCCTGTGATTCCAAACATTCAATCTCGGTGTATTTAAACACGGGCCAATATTTGAAGAATCTTCTTTGCTATGCTGAATGAGGCTAGGGGAAAGAAAAAGGAAATGCTTAAGTAAATGGTCATCTGATATTTATGCTGAAGATTTGAACACCAAAGGTCACTGACCAACAATGCACAATTCATTATCCCTTTTTCTAAGAAATCATAAGCTAGACAAATTTTTTTTTTTTTTTAAATTAAAACCCCTTTTACTGCTAATCAGATAAAATTTAATTTTTTTATATTTCCAGTGTCAATTCCAATCTACTGGGGAATGTGTATTTACTGTTAAATCTTTAACAATTTTGTCACAAGGTCAAAGGGGAAGTGGGGAGAGGCTGGTCAACACTAACTATCCTAGACCTAGCTAATCAGATTCACAGCCCATTCATCCATTACAATTTACTTATTCACCACAAAAACTCATCCTTCGCCATTCAGTCTGACATATACAATAATACCAAATATTCACAGGGATTCTACAAAAATATATAACAATTTAATAATATGAAATGAGGGGATGAACCCAAAAAAGAAATTAAACTATAACAAAACATTCAAACTAAAAATAAAATATGTTAGTAGGACACATCCACCCAACAAAAATAAGAGTGGTTGCTGTATTTTGCCAAAAAGCAGAATCAAGAATCTTGCTCTCTA